CCACCAAATCCTCCTCACATCCATCACCCTCCCATTTCCCACCAAACTGCTCACAGACCCATCAACTGCCTCCCTCCTCTGCAGACCCACCACCCCTCTCCCCACCTTGATATACTTATATTGGGATCCCACTGCAGTTCCCGGGAGCAGCAAAACACTGCACACCCTGACCTGCCTTCTGCCTAAATTCAGACTAAAGTTGCTAACTATCTCTTTATAAGTTATAAAGGGTACATCAGAAAGACAATAAGTGACCTTCTGTTGCACTGACAATGTTGAAAATTGGTTCTAAAAATAAATGTACTGGGCAAATCCAGTGGTGGTATTATGCCCTGCATTACTGGAGATTTAAGAATCTTACTTGTAAATGATACCCAATATAAATTGTGTATTGTCTTTACATCCAGCTTTGCATTTCTAATAGTAAATAGTTTATATTAAAAGAAACGGTAATATTATTGAACAATGTTGTAAGTATTTGTTAACTGAGGATACAAAATCTCTGTAACAATGGACAAATACAATTCCACTGTATTCCAGATTAAATTCAGGGTAACCTTAATCTTGTAAACTAAATCAGATTTAAGGTTTAGATTTAAAATTTATGGCTTTGAATTTTTAGTAGTTAACTCTTCTTACAAGAGTGTCCTTAATCACAACATAAATCCAGGAAGATTAAGTGTTTTTACACATTTCTATTGTCTTGAAAAATGGATCTCTCATAAGACTAGCTGTGACAAGAAACTAGGCATTGAGTCTACTTTCCAATGGACAAAAAGAGTGGAACAAAATCTAGGATATTTCAAAGGGTTTCAAGATTTGAGAATCTATTTTTAACCCAAACATAGAAGGAAGTTCAGAATTTTACTCAGATTTTTCCATTGAAGAAAAAATGTTCATAATTCATACTACAACTGAGAAAGCACATTTCACAACTGGATAATTATATTCCTGTAGAAAAATATTGAAAGATATGTTACAAAAAATAGTGTTGTTGGAAAATTGACATGTAAATAGTATTAGTTGTTGGATTATAAGGGTATTGTGACTAAGGACCTGTTTTGTTTTTCAAAAAGTACAATTTGTTCTTGAAAGTTGGTATTATGTCATCACTCTGAAATAACATGATCTAAAGATGGATGCACTTCATCATGACAATGACAACAGTGATGAATGACAGCTTATTTGTCAAATCACATCATAATTATCAGATTATGCATTTACTTAAGGAGAGAAGAATTAAAAGGTCTACTTTTACAAATATGTTAATTTGATCCCAAATGGGTTTTGTGCAAGTAACAAAGATGACACTGCTTGATGGTGAGTGCTTTAAAACATCTGCCACAAAACAAATAAGTTGCAGTTAAAACTTTTTTATCTAGAAACCACTGACATCTTAAAAGAAAAAAGAAATGTTGATTCATTTAGTTAGTTTTTTTTCTTCTGAGCTTCTGGAAATAAATATTAATCTCTTGTTTATATCCCAGTACCTTAAGTACATAATGCCTTAAATATTACATAAAAGGTGATGCTTTTTGGATCCTATTTCCACAGTGTGTTTATTATGCTTTATTCAATTTGTAACAACATAGAGACAAAAAAAACTATTAAAAATGTATCCTATTCACTAATGAAAAATTGAATTCCTAATACTGTCTTATTTATGTCATAAGACATTGTGATTACTGATGTGAATAAATTCTACAGAACTAATGATTTCATGTTAGCAAAACCTAATAAAAATGGACAATATTTTTCAGGAAATTTGGAGAAATCCTGACACTTATGATCTCAGTTTTATAACACTTATTTCAACAGAGACAAGATTTCACCATACATATTTTTAAATGCCCGCATTCCTCTCAGCAGAAGATAATATTCCTAGTTTTATTTTGCCCAACTGGATTTTGAAATGTTTCTAACTGCTTCTACCTCTATATTCTACCTTTTCATTTTTTAATATATTTTAACATACCTCTTCTGTTCAATTGAACCAAAAGAAAGGCATTCTGAACCAACATTTTTCTTCAGAGGGAGTTATTTGCCAAAATGCTAAGTCTTTCAGTGTTGACTGGAGCAATGCCAAGGGCCAAAATTGGGCCCTAGGTGGTTTGAAAATCCAGCTAGGCCACTATCTTTTTGTTTAGGGACCTAAATAGTTTTAAAAATCTGGTTCAAGGTTTTCAGTTCAGCTGGTACAGCAAAATGCATTATACATTTCAACATAAACTCTAGAGATTTGGATGAGAATCATTTGGCAAAATATGTTTCAAGGACCCATCCTGACCTTCCAGATATTGTGATAGCTATACTTTTCTATCTGAAAATGTAAGGATTTCAACTATACTTACCTCTTCAGATGCCCAGATGCTACACTCTTAAACATTTCATTAATCAATCATAATTTGAATATTGACCTATTATATAAACACACAAAATACACAACACTAAACTCAAAGCCCCAGTGTTTAGATCTTAGATATCAGAA